TTTAGCAAAGATGGCAGTCAATAGCATTTAAGGAAACATGTCAAATCCATTGCTAGGAGGTTTGATCCGCTGCATAGCATAAATCTCGGTACTTGACCTTGTTCAGAAAAGAGCTAAGCATTTGACTGAAAATGGATCCCCTAATCAGAATAGAGTCAAAGTCTAACATTTCATATGTTTTGTTTCTTTTGCTGGTTCAGCTGAAAGCATGCCTGGGCGGTCATTTTTAGGAGTTGAGTTCCGATTACCTTACAGGAACACAAGTTTATTTAACAGGCACTTGTTTTTATCTCTGGTTCATATTCCAAGTTAGTTTTCACAGAAAGAGAAACGATTCAAGAATGGTTTGAATTAAAAACCACCATCATTTTTTAAAGAACAATGTGCCTCGTGTTTGACAGATTCAATGTACAATAATTTTGCAGAGGTTTTTTGCGGCCTTTGCGACACGACATGTATTTAAGGGTTCCCGAGTAAAAGTTACTAATCCATCGTAACATGTACTTTTAAAGGAATGTGGACCCTTGACTGGCTATAAATACATATACTGGTTAGAATACAACATACATGAATGTTTACACTGTAACTGTCCCTAAGAAATAGGAAATATTTCTAGAAATGATCAACTGGAGGCTGGCAAACAATGCCAATAAACAAATTAAAGAATTTTTCACAGATGTTAGTTGAATTTTATATTTTTGTACCAAGTACGATAAACTCAGATATTGCATACGTGATAAAAACAGGGGCTTCTATAGCACAAACTGCGCATCCAAGCATTTTAAAAATGTGACCAATAACATCATTGATGCGAATTATTCAACAATAAACAGAGAGTCTGATCAAGTCATTTTGGAACTTTAGAAAAGATTGACTACCTAAAGAGCTGACTCATCTGCATATAAAGAGATCAGGAAATAACGAGTTAAGCTTTTGTTCGATATGGTCACAAGAATTCGATTTGAACAAAAACCCTTATAACCGAGACCATATTTTCATTTTGTACAAGGTTTTGGTTTAAAATCAATCGATAAATTTACAACCAACTTTTGAAAGATACTCAAAGGGGCTCGATCATCACGCAATTGACTAAATCATTTTCATTGTTTCAAAACGATTATGCTACATATCAAAACTTTAAAAACGGGAAAAACAAATGAACACAAATTTTAGTATGGGCAAAAAAGAACCGAGTCTCGGTTGAGAAGAGCAGGATAGAAAATGAGGAAGCATTTGCGCAAGAGAAAGAAAATATTATGGCAAAGGGTTTTGAAAACAAAGTAAGTTATACTGCATTTGCGTTCTGCCGGCTGTCTCTTATCATGCCTGATTTAACATCTGGTGCTATGATTTATTCATTTTCAACCTGGCTCACTTTTTATTAACCGGCGATACCAGGAACAAATAAAAAATTGAAAATCTAAAGAAGGATTAGAAGCTAAAAGGGGGCATGACACAAAATCAACCAAAAACTCACTCCTTGATATCCAGAAAATTGAATGGTAGGTTTTCTTCTTGGCGAGACCTGTTACAGTGAAAGAAATAAGACAATAGAGACAATAAGTAAAAATCTAGCAAACGAACTGCTTCTGAAATAATGCCTTACGCTTCACACTTATGAGGAGAATCAAAGCCATGCTTGTGAGAGAGAATATCGAACTCGTTGAACCATACCTCGGCTGATTGATATTCTTCGAGCGCTCGCAAGCACGAATCTGTCAATTTTACATGTACTAGAAGCCTGTTGTCGCTTGGCTCTGTCTGAGATATAAGGTTATACAAACTCTTTGGACTTAAAACAATGGCCATCGCATCTTCTTCCCCCGAAACCTTATAGACTCCTTCCCCATCGGTGAGCAACATCCGCTAAGTAACTTTCACTGCGCCTGTCTACTAAATAGACCCAAACACTACGATTATGACCTAATTTGGCTAGCCGGAAGTGCTCTTCTCATTATCGGAAAGATTCGTATTGACGTTTCAACATGTGTTTTTGCATTCGGTTTCTCTCGGCTTCTCTCGGTTTCTATCAGTAGACGGGTAGCCAAGCCTGCTAG